CAAAAACGCAACATCAACAAGAGCGCAAAGTAAACACAAAAGAGAAGACTGGAAAGAGGACACCACATTGTAAGTCATTCAACCTGTGAAAGGAACAATGCAAAACGCAACATCAACAAGAGCGCAAAGTAAACACAAAAGAGAAGACTGGAAAGAGGACACCACATTGTAAGTCATTCAACCTGTGAAAGGAACAATGTAAAACGCAACATCAACAAGAGCGCAAAGTAAACACAAAAGAGAAGACTGGAAAGAGGACACCACATTGTAAGTCATTCATGAAGCATGTAAGCAACTTTCCCTTAAAAAACTAAATATGAGGAAAGATACAAGACGAAGCAAAAGACGCTTTAACAGCGTCCGCAGTGATTGCAGGAAGTCCACACGCGTAAAATGCGTGTAGCGCGGGTGTAGGGTACATGTAGATAAACAATGCGTTGGCATCGCATGAAGTGTTCATGAAGTGTTCAAGAAATAGCATACTGTGACCGGTTTATACCTGGAACAAGCAGTACACAAGGTTTGTAAGAACTGTACTTCTGATCCGTCTCGTGGTTTGGTGTACTGTGGAGTGTATAAGAAACCAAATTAGCTGATAGAAGTCAAAGTACTCTTTACTCATGGTACTGGTTGTGATAAAAGGTCTCAACACTGTAAGGAGAGGCTATAAAAACCTCGTGTTTCCATCTGGAGGTTGGTCCTTCACCTGGGGATCTTCTCAAGCAGGATGCACACATACCACACTTGTCACATGTCCACCGACCTGATGACAGAAACCAACACAGTGAACGCATAACGGGGTAGAAGAGTCTAAGTTCGTTCTCTCTATGGGATTGTTCAGTTTTCCACTTTAGGTTTCGTTGTCTTGGCAAACGGTTCATAGTTTTGATCGTGCGTGTCGCATTCAAGGGTTCACCCCCTCTCCTTCCCCCCTCCCCCCTCCCTCTTCCCCCTACCCAATCTCCCCTTCCCTCCCCTCCCCTCTCCAGAAAGTCCTTAAACGTCTTTTCGCGGTGAAATTTAAGTTTCGGTGCGTTTAGACTTAGTCAAAAGGTTAATCTAACTGCAATGAGTGTATACAACAACGTAGACCGATTGTTATCAAGATTAACAAGAAACGCAAGAAACAGGAAAATATAACTAATGATCACCCTTACTAACGACCAGATTCAATACGATTCTAGGGTAATAACTATGGTTATGTACTCACCCACAGGTATCTGTTTGAGTCCCACGCAGAAACTGTGGTATCCACGGTCACATTCGTCACAGAACAACATCTTATCCTATCAACAAACAACTTAGAATCAAAATAAAGTCCGAGTTGCTAACTCGTTCGGTCAGGCGAGTGAACGTGGGAGCAGAGGTATTTTTATTAATTAATTTAAATTGTGTCTGTTTCCAGACAAAATTTTTCTGGAATTCAAATTCGAAATTTTACTATAGGGAGTGGAAAAGGAGTTAGTTTGTAGAACCCTAGCGGTACGGCAGAATTTACCTTCACAGCAGTTTGGATCATACCTACGAGAAAGTAAGATTACAGAAGGGATGACTGAAGCTAAAACGGTAATTTGCTCATTCATGGCTGGTTAGATGTTCTCGATCATGTGGTCTAATGGTCTAGGTGAGAGTACGCATGGCAAAATAATTTGGATATATCAACAAAGTTGAAATGGTAAATTGGCCACCGTAACGATTACAAAAGCTGACGTTTCAACCGTTAGCCGTTCGCTCCGTATCCAAATCATTTCGTTACCCCAACCGACGCAGCCCCAAACAGTTTCTTTAGAGACTATCAGCCTTTAGACATGACAAAGTCTGTTATAGGTAGCAGTGACGGAAGTTTCGACCACCTGAGCAGAAAACGTCAGGAGAGTCACGTGAATTAGACTCGACCGCTTAGGTTGTTGAAACGTCAGTCACTTCTAACAGCAACAGTTCTTTTCAGAAGTACTAGCCTCGCCCAGACCATCAGACTACAAGATCAATTATTATTCCTACATTCAAACCATTTTCTGTGGCCTTAACCCTTCTTTTCTCTTTACCTCTGAGCTGCGGTAACACCTTCCTCAAATCTCAAAACGTTCTATACTAGTACTACAAGCACTGCTCAAACTCAGTCATGTTAAGTTATTTACCTCATCAAAAGGGTCCCGGCAGACGATGCAAGTTTTACATTCCATGCATTGCCATGGATATGTCTGGATCACTACAACCAGCTGTGCGTTCATGTCCAAACATGTGGGGTGTCCTATACAAAACACAAAAGTCATCAGTATTCCTGTCGTATCTATAGGTGATTACAAATGTCTATTGCATGTCTAGCACTTACAAAATTCTTTCATTGGGATCTCTCTCCAATATAGACTGGTAGATGTTGAAAGGAGAGAAATAGCATACATGTACACACATGACCGTTCAAATTTCCATTCATAGTTACATGTGCATCATCTTGGCTGAAACAACACCAAGGTAAAAGAAACTTTGTGCAATTACCAGTACCAAAGAAAGGATTCTTACAAATCTCCTGCAGAGTTTACACAAAACAATCAAAGGTCAAAGTTTCCAAGGATTACTTTCAAGGGAAAATTATTCCACATAAACCTATATTTCGAATAGTCCTTTACAACTGCAGGACAACTTTTCTGAAAACATCTGGGCCATAAATGATTGGCCCAGATGTTGGTGGGCCAATCATAAATGATTGACCCACCAACCAAAGCAGTCAGAATACAGTCATGCAAAAACATACCACTATTCTCGCACTGGGAGCAGTGTATAAGTTCTTCTGGCAGTCCTTTCTTGTTTGAATCTGGACCTTTCAGACAAATGCCACACAGGGCATTGGGACGTTTTGGGGGCTAGGAACAAGATGTCAAAGTAACAATAGGGTTTTACACATGTGCACACATTGTAACGTTCATATTGAAAAAATAACGTGATAAGAAGTACTTGTAAGATCTTTGCATGTTTTCAACTCTCTCCCATATTAGGACTCTCAATCCAAAATCAAAGAATGATATTCTGTATTACTTTACCCTAGTCTAGAAATATGTGTATTTCTATACACAAATTATCAAAAGTTGTGGATAAGTTGTACTTACTTTGTATTTTCCTGGTATTTTCTTTGCTGGTGGTTCTTCTGGTTCCTCCTCAGAACTACTATCACTACCTTCTTCCACTGTTGAATCCTGTGCAACAGAAAAAAATGTTGCAAAGTTCAATTTTCTGCAAGTTTACTCTGGCTGGAGTTCATGCACTGTGAAAACTCAAAAAACCATAACACACAAAATATTTTATGGGATGCTTTTGTGTTTCATGGGCCTGAAAGAAACAACTGTTTATCCTATCCACCCAAAATCTCAGTAGCATTCTTATAGTTAAATTGGAGAATATGATATTAGATCAGCTATGGGTAATAATTCCATGATTTTTTTTTTTCTCACCACTTGTTTGCTTGATATTGCATATGCAAAGTAAGGAGACATTCTCTTGAACAGTGAATGCCTGTAGAAAAAAAAAAAGCTAATTCAACCTACTGGCAAGGATATATCATCTGATTCTTCAGAGTCTTCTTGCTGTGGAGGTACATATGGTTCTGGAGGCAATGGAGGCTTCGGCATTTCCATAACAGTACCAAGTGGAAAGTTGTTCAGCTCTTCTGAAGTGTACCTTGAAACATACCATGAAAAGAATAAACATGGGTCAACCCAGTAATGATTTCAATAGTTCTAAGCCTCACCAAAAGAGCACAGACTATATGTGGTATTGTATGTGCACAACAGATATTTGGTACAAACACATGCACATGTACCTACAGTCTACACTATATTGTCAAATATTTTCTCACTCCTTTCTGGGGAACATTGAAATAAAACATTGTATGTGCACAACAGATATTTGGTACAAACACATGCACATGTATCTACAGTCTACACTATATTGTCAAATATTTTCTCGCTCCTTTCTGGGGAATATTGAAATAAAACATGTTGGCAGTACAGTAACATGATCTTCATTTCATTGAAATTGTTTTTCAGAATTTCTAGTCTTTCATAGGTTAACCACTTTTGATAGAATTTTCTTTTCATAAAATGAGTTCTGTATTTGTCAATTCAAGATTTAAGAGAAGGATAGATAGCATGTTAGCTCAACACCTATAGAGGTCTCTTACTACCTATGCTAAAAGGCAGCAAAAGCTGAAGTCATTAAAAAAATGGAAGAAAGAGACTGAGTAGGTAGGGATGACAATATAAAAACAAACAAATAATTAGTCACTTAACCAATGATAGTTTTTGTAAGCCATGAATACCTTTTATAGTATTCCTGGAATTGTCCAGGAAGAAGAGCAACTGGGTATAAACTTGGTTTGGTGCAAGGCCGTGATAATCGTGTTGTCTTATTGGCTGGTACATGGATGATCTAAAGTATATGAAACATTTTGTACAATAACTGAAGAGCAGAAAGAAATCCATACCTCCGACTAATCAAGTTCAAGGTTCATACTGTAAGTTATGAAACAAGATTTTTACACTTGGAAGCAAAACATTTTGTACAGTAGCTGTAGATCAGAAAGAAATCTATACTTCCTACCAACTGAGTTCAAGGTCCATAAGTCTTTAAGATACAGACCATGATTTTTCCACTTGGATTTATGGCCATAATGCAAAGCCAGCATAGATGGGTACTGGCCAATCATCAGGGAAGCCTGGTAAATTGCAGGGGGGATAACCTTGTGATGGACTTGCATGATATCTAGCAGGGGGTAGTGTTACTCCTAGGCCCCTCATGGTAAGGAAACGGGATAAGCTTAAGTACTGGGTGGGTCACTTGCCTCAAGTACGGATCTCAAAACATTTGATCTTACTTGAGTCTGCATGTCGAAGTATGAACATCGCTCTTCTCTTCTCTGCTGAGCTAATTGAGCATTGAACTCTGCAACATCTTTAATGGCTCGTTTTATGTAGTTTGCTACTTTTCTAGTTTCCAAAGATCTCTGTAATGGAATGTGTAACGTACATATCTCACTTTTTTTCATTATTTTTTTATCAAATTTTCAGGTTAACAATATTGCATTGGCTGATTCACAATAATAACCATAGCTAATCTTAAGCAGGTCATTAAGACTGAGATTTACTCACTAAACTATCTAAGTTAACTGCCCAAACCAAACTGAATTCAGAATAAGGAAATGATTACAATTGAACGATGAAGTTTTTTGAATTAATGATCAGTTTATATATCTTTAGGTTTTTCATATTTTCCTTCCTTTAAAACCCCCTACCTTTTCTTCTTCTGCCTTTCGAATTAAGCTTTGACGTTCCTTGACATGAGCCACCCTGATATATTCCTGTAACATATTTTTTTTTTAAATAAGAAACTTTTGGTAACAACATTTTTTGAGAATTTGTTCACACCAACCCGTAGGTATACATATGAATAAAGGCTGATAGTTTCAAAAGAAACTGTTTGGGGCTGCGTCGGTGGGAGTAATGAAATAATTTGGATATATCAACAAAGTTGAAATGGTAAATTGGCCACCGTAACGATTACAAAAGCTGACGTTTCGAGCGTTAGCCCTTCTTTGGAGTGTAGGTATACATACATGACATGTAGAAATGATCAATTTGTTGTTGTTAACACTGTTTGTTAATGTCCTTTACCTTATATTTTTTGGGAAAACCATCAATCATTATTTGACAAACATCCTCTGTCTTAAATGCTGCTAATTCTGAAATATGGAAGCAGGTGAAGGCAAGGATGTTAATATAAGGCACTCCAGAAAAATTTGTGCAATTTCTTGGAACACCGACAGATTCAAAGGCACTAAATATAATCTCAAAAATTTCAAAGACACAAAATCATAATATTCAGTTCAGAAGGCACTCTTCAGGACTGAGTATAAGTAACATTTCTAGCCAAATTGTTTCCTCCAAAATTCTTTCCGCCTGTCAAAACTTGATTCTCAATTCTCGTAAATTACGACTTTTCAGTACTAAGGTGTGACATTTGAGTTGCCAACTGTTGATTTACATTCTAGTGGTACTATACAAAACCACTAGATAAACATGTAACTTCTCCATTTAATATCCACACACTATCCAGCAAGCAGGTAATGAGAATACTCAAATTTGTCTGTTAGATGTTGTTATCTTAATCTTACACCAAATTTTCAAAACTAATTTACAAGGAAATGTGTAGCAGCTGAGGGGTAAATTAACAGTCAGATCTTGGGAGTTAAAGAGTAACTTTAACAGGTGACTCGTGTACATTGTACCTTGCAATTCATCAGGGATGACTCCCTTCTCTTTGAGGTACAGTTTCTCGTCATCCACTACCGTATGTCTCTCTAAATCTGAGAAAAAAAAAAAGTAAAAAGTTTTTAAGCAGATACCACTTACAGGACACAAAATACAGAGGCAGCCCCATCTTTGTCAGCCCTTAACCAAAATAACCAGCCCAAAAATGGCCTTAGCTGACATATTTTTAAGAACTCTATAAACAAAATGTAAAAAAGCTACACACAGTCTAAAAAATTAAACGAAGTCTTAGTAATTGATTGTGCTTTAACTGAGACCTCCAATTTTTAAAGTGCACCTAAACCCCAAATTTTTTTTTCACTTAATGAAATAAGCATATTTTTTGGAGTATTTCTGTGCAAGAATTTTTTTATTTGCTGAAATCTTCAATTTTCTGCGCCCAGTCAAAATACGAAAAATCGGCTGCCATCTTGCCCCATGACCAAGTTTAAAGAGGAATGGCTCTAGCC